GGTTGCGGCACGGCCACAATTGCGGTCGGAATCGATCGATACACAATCTCGACGGGAACTTCGCAACCATTCAGTGTTTCTTGCGTGCACTCGACTATGTTCAGGTATATGTATACGGTATAATATATCTCAACAATTCACACAAATCAAAGACCAATGTATGAGGATTTCTTATGGTATTATAGCGAGCGAAAAGCATAGAGGAATATAATATCTATCAATATCTGAAAGAAAACAAAAAAACTGGGATCATTTTCAAGAAAGACATTTTCATGGACGTGAATGTGGGTGCGTATGAAAGTGTGGTGTGAGAAAACACCACAGAATGTGCTCTAATTACTATTTTTCGTGCTCTACGGCTAAACGACGATACAGTAATGCACGATGACGACGACGACGAAGACAGGCACTTTCTCGACAGAGGGAACACACTACTGCTGTTGATTTTGTGTTGAGGTGACGTCAATATCAACCAGTCCAGCTAGGTCACCAGCTTCTGGGATCTCGTAGTCGGGCGCAAGGCTACGCACAAAGTCCTGCAATGTGGGGTTTTTAATAAAAGGTTTCAATTATTCGAGATTTCAATCAATGCATATAGAAGACGTTACTAAAATAGAATGTAAATAAGGACGATTGGTTCACTTAGAAATTTCAATTATTTTGCTGAAGGCTTGGGTAACCCAAAAGGTTTAGGTCTCATATGTGCAGCATGGCGCCCTCATCAGTATGTCAATCCCGCACACATGAGGGAATAGGTCCGATAATTGTTCACTGCGTGGGTTTTCAGTGATAGGAGGCTATAAAGGAAATTTGGTAAAGTTTCTGTAAGAAGAGTGTTCCGGAAGTACAGAAGAAGATGAAACCATGAGGCATGAGGCAAATATCCAGAAGATGATCCAAGTGAAAGTGCTCAATGTGAAGCCGAAGGACATCGAGATGGGAGGTATAAAGCGTGCAAGAAAGGCATGAGAAGGAAGGAAGCGCTGGCTGGTTTCTAAAAGGTGGGTTCCTAGTTCAGTGGTCAACTTTCAATCGTATTGGAATACTGTAGGGCTCCAACAGCGAGCGTTAACTGGGTAATGCTATGGAGAAAAGCCTGTTTATGAAGCTCTGAAATCGTAACGGTGAGTCATACTTAACCCATGGGAGGGCACACTTGATCTATGGAAGAGGAAAGGATGGATTCGATAAAGCCATTTCATTTAAGGTCATTCGATTCCTCTACTTAAGTTGACAGGTATGGTGGCTCAGTAAAATTAACGGCTGGTCAACATAGTCCCCTGTCCCCTGACGGAGGTACTTTCATAATTTCAAACGAAAAGTCAATTTCATCTCCAAAATTGTTATCATTCATGCATGTTAGTGCCTGCTCCACAAATTACAATAACAAAAAGTACAATCATGCTTCACAACAGAACATACCATGCTTATCGAAGAGGTGGCATTTCGCTGGGCAAGTTGTCGCGCGCGTCGGAGTTTTTGGTTCTCACGCATTTTCGCAAGCCGACGCGCTCGTTGTTCTGGCTTTTCGTTCAGTAATCGTCGCCGTTGATAGTCGCGTAGTCGCATGAGTCGCTCTTCTTTGGCTTGGGATTCCCGTTTCTTAGCGTCTTCCGTGGCTTTAGCAGCAGCACGATACTCCTTCTTACGGCGATCGGGTTTCTGGCCTTCATGGGCTTCTCGTTGTTGTCGATAGCGTTCTTTCATTCGTTTAAGACGGTGCTCACGTTGTTCGCTCGTCTCGAACAGCCGTTTCAGCTTCATCTTCTCCGAAATCAACTTCTTGGTGCGCTCGTTTCGATTTGTTTCAAAATTTAAGTTGTATATCCGCTCCAATCCACTACTCACGCTATCGACGATCACTCGTTCTCTGGCATCCTTCGCCGAACTTTGCAGCAGTTGGATGGTGATCACGAAAGACGTCAATTCATCGACTCCAAAGTTTTTTTGGAGAGATGCCAATCCGTCAAATAGGCCGTCGTAAGTGAGTGAGGACACATCGAATATAGGCGGTGTCTCTGAAGCTGACCCTCCAGACGAAGATTCAGTGCCATCACCGTTGTCACCATTACTACATGACGTTAGAAGCTGATTTAATAACGTCAAGCTGGAGAGGAATGTTTCAGCACCAGCCGTCGTGTCAGGATCGACATCAGGCATTGCCTTAATAGGTCATATATGGTCTAATCAAGTCCACATGGCCGACATTAGGAATGGACCGCAGCTGCGTTGAAGAATGGACGCAAGAAGGACATCGGGAGAAATGTACTCCACTTTCGACCACGTAAGGAAATCACACAGGTGACAAGCATGCAGTTCCGGAAGACAGGCATCTAACGGTTTCAAGCGGCCCTCCTCCTCTCCAAATATGGTTCTTTCCAACACCAAAGTGTCTCTGTATGCTGCCGCACCCAATTCAATGGCTATAGAGGAAACGCTTCGGGAGTTTTTGGGGCTACTGCCTAGACCAGTTCATAAGGATCTGTGGGTAAGATACTGAAAGTAAGCAATCACAACAACGACCTTCGCGGATAGCTCCGCTTCACATGGGCGTTGTTCCCGGCTTCAAGGTAGTGTAAACATAATAAGGAAGGATGAATTGACGTAAGAGAAAAAGTAAAAAAGGCTGTTTGGTGGTGGAACTGTGGGCGGAACGGGAGAGCTGGTGGAACGAGAGCTCATGAACCTGAGATGTAGAAGTTACAACAGTGGAGATGCAGCAACACAATGCTGAGGGTGAGAGGAAGCGGATATGGTCAGAGGGAACCAATGAGGTGATCTCAATGTATCGGAAAGATGCGGAGTTCAGCGGTGGGGTGTTCCTCAATATGATTTGACGCATACTATCGCCACCGATGAACCTTCTGCAGCAAAAGCATGGCTCATTCTTTTCAGGTATGTCCCCTTATGTGTTTCTATTATATTCATCCACCATTAACCTTCAAGATAGCTCTTCAATAAAATGTGCAATGTTGTAAGGTGCTTGTGCAAAAAAAGGTGCAGTTAGTCATTTTAGTGAAGGGAGGGCCGCCTAGGTTGTAGATGCCGCCTTCAGAAAATTTAGGTGAAGAAAGTAAAGTCGAATAACAAATAAACACGACGAAAAGCACAGAAAACTTCACAAAAGCAAAGGTTAGTTGACGTTAGCCTAACTACTAAAAGCAACACCGTGTTTAACAAACCTTAAACTGTTCACTCTGCAACAGGTTGTTGTTTGCGCCTTCAGAAAACCAGAACCTAAAAACACAAATGCTCTCAACTAATTGATAAAATTGTTCAGCTTATAAGCCTCTCCCGAGTCCGTTATTGAACTTGGCTGAGTTACTCTTGGAACCATGGCTATTGATAACTTACTTGGCTAATGCCATATCCCTGTCGACTTTCTTCTCATCACAATCGTCGGTGGACACAGACGACGTTGACTGAGTTTCAGTAGTCACGACAGAACCTAGAAATCAAGCGAAATCTTCAAGTTCCATGACATTCGGCCACATCCTCTACCCATCGTTGCAGATGGTTCACTACTAATAGACAGACGTGCCCCCCAAGCGCTCTCTTCATGGATTTTGTTTAGGTCAATGATTCCAGTCTGTATCGGGGCTATCCAGTGATCTCTGAAAGCCATCTGCTATAGGTGCTCAAAGATGGTTCATTCAACCAACCAAAAATGACGAAGACACGACACAGCAGGAGATGTATTTTCACATAAAGTAGTAATCGGATAGTGTACCTTACCACTACAATACCCTTGACTAGTATTAGTCTCTAATGCTTCAGCACTACGATACATTCCCCTCAGAGTCTATTTGTAGTTCTTGATATCATCCTGACCCACGGGTATATGGCGCTACAACTAACTGGAGCAAAAATTTTAATTTGACTGCAGAAGGCGGATCACAATTGCGACGGATACTAAGTCATGCCCTTGCCTCCCCGAAGCTTTTGTAATTCTTACGTAGTGGAATAGCGCCCACTTGACTTTGACACGCCGACGGTTTCACCGTAAGTACGCTAGCTACCGCCTAACCTAACCGGAGACAGTGCCTTTCGCCTCGATGAGTATTATGGATTGAATGCTTAGCCAAGAGTTGCGGCTGTCGACGAAATCATCGATCATCAAAAACATGAATGAAGTAGGACGAACCGTTCAGGTTGACGATGGTTTGCTCTTGTGGAGGCGGAGCTAGGCCCATATTCGCTGCCAACATGTGGTCAGCTGCTCTCCGTATCTCATCGAAGGCGCTCTGAAACAATCGTTTCCTTCTCCCATTACACCCTACCCGAAGCCAACGTAGGAGTGCTTATATGGGAGAGCCTACCTGTACAGATGGGACAGGCTCTTCAGATTCCTCCTCCTGTTTTATTTCGCCTTCAACACCACCGGGAGCTGGCACCAAGCCAACGAGAGCAGCTAATTTGTCAGACATTGACATTCCGTTGAACGGGTCCTCATCCAGGCTAAACATAACATTGATATTGAATACGACAAATCGGTCCTGCTCATAGATATTGCCATATATCTGAACAACGCTGTGTTCCTTCCCACAAAGCAGAATTTCGCACTGACCTGTCCTTCTTCGCAGTCGAATCGTTGTTCTGCCGCGCTGCCATCGTTTGGCTGATGAACTGCTGGATTAGTGGCGATGCTCGAGGAGCAGATGGATGAGCTGAATAGAGAACACTGTGGCCGTTTAGGTAACAGTAAGTTCTAACATTTTTGAACGGACCATAAGTATGATAGGAAGTGAAATGAAGACAAAATGGTGGGATTCAAAGACTCTGACTGGGACGCAGATATGGTGCTTTGCGGATCTGAAACCCCGGGATTACCTGGATACCTCACTGACTTGTAGAGTAAATGGGTTAGCCGACGTTCCAACTAGTAATTTAACCATCCTGACCAATTATTACGGGATAGGACCGAAATAAGCGGGTTCTCATCGCTACGAGGGGATAGGAAGTTTCTATCAAGGGCCTGACTTCAGCATCTCAAAGACCCATCATGCACTTCCCCTGGTGCTCTGCAAGAACTTTGCCTGCTGCCTCATGAACTGATCCCTACAAAGTATATGCCAGAATGGGGACTTCATCAAGGGCGAGGAAACGTGGGAAACGGCATACTCACCAGCGGTAGCTGTGCTAGCATTCCCTCCGCCACGTATAAAATCAATCAGTTCATTTTTGATTTTATTTGGTGGACCAGTGACATTCTCCTCGACACGCATATCACCTTCGAGCTTCAGTACCTGTAAACAAAATCAGGTTATAATGAAAACAACACAGTCTTTTCTACTCGAGGTCACTTGATAGCCTATCAAACTCATTCGAAAACCCCCCACTGACTTCTTTTCGCTTCCCTGCCCTGGTGCCCTATGTACATATATGTCTGGAAGTCAAACAAAGCGCATACGCCATACATTCATGTATAATGCCGTTATCAATACTAGTATCACCGCCCGACGGGAAGCTGCTGGCTCTGCATTGTGCGTAGTCTACACTCACACGACTAAAGGTGGCCCATAAAAGTTGATAAACTTCGATATGATATTAGTGATAGACACAGGAGAGCAGCAGCCTCTTGTTGCAGTACGACCCGCAGGAAAAGAATACCTTTCAAGCAAAAAATCCGAAGTTTGTATTGGAAAGGAAAAGGTCCCTCCACGACGCAACCTAGGAAGGTCTGCAAATGTGTGACCCTAGTCCTAGTAACCCCAAACCGGGATCTCCCGAATAGGGAACTCCTATCGGTATGAAGACATTTCTTACCCTTTCATAATCCTCCTTATGATGGGCTTTCAAATGCATCTTCAAATTTGTACTGAACGCTGAACCGGTACGGAAACTGCAGTTGATACATCCAACCATCTGGAATAAGCTCGGAATATACTTTTACCTCGGATGTTTTATGAGACAGTCCGTCAAATAGAACCTTCAGATTTACTTGATATTGTTATGTAATGTATTTCTTCGCTTTTTTTTCCATGACAGCACAAGAGGATTGTTCCAATGGGGAATGAAAAGAATCCATGTACTTCAGGGAGTTAAAACTTTACACACTGTTGATGTGACACGCGACCAGAGCTTCGCATAGCGATTTACTCATCACTTTATCAGTTTATCATCAGAAAAACAGCGAACAATGCAGGGCACTCGTCATGGGGCTCGAAACCTTTGTGGTTCGATCTCAGATGCCATCTTAATGGAAAACTCCACAAGTTCGAAAGACTTACGCGGTCTTCGAGATCTTTGAAGAACATCCAAACAGGATGCCGGCGTAGACGACGACGTTTCGGCTGTGGCATACCGTTTGCATCGGTTCCATGCGGGGCAGATGGAAGGTCTGCAAATTCCGCTTTGAGCCAATCTTAACAGGAAGTTGAAGGGCACTGAACAACAGTTATATATATCAATTTACAGCTAAGAAAGAAGGGTCACAGAGCTCAATTTCGAGTTAAAATTTATGCATTATTATAAAATTAACAAACAAATATATTGAACGAGCCGAATGAAGGCTACGTCAGCGTTCACCAATGGTCTGAAAGGTGGAAAAGGATCGATCGGAGTTCCAGACCCTCTCGACTGATTATGCCTCCAGCCTTATACGTTTAAGCTCCGAAAGATAAAGATTCATAGCGCGCCTCAAGTTTTCCCACCATTTTGGTAGAAAAACGAATCTTTTTCGAATAAAAGATGAGTCGAATGAGGGCCAACGTTAGAATGCTAATTGGACGCTTCCCAGAAACCTTCCCAGAACCTTCCACGCATTTACGAACCGTTTTTCCGTAGCCAAGTTTTCAGCCATTTTGAAAAGAACCTTCAGACGAACAGAAACAAAAACTACGAAACGCTGGTCCATTTGGGCCTAGACCTATCCATTGGCCCTACCGTAACAGAGATACAGGATGCAGGTGTTCTCAGTTCACTGACAGAGATAACGATATTCCTACTCATTGTTAAATTGTAGTTGAGGACATGATACTAGTAAAAAAAATTATTGATCAGTTGGAGGTAGTAAGAACACTTGCACTTTTTTGTAGACAGTACTCAATGACTGGCGTCGTGTTTCATAAAGTTATAGGGGCAACCAAGAAGGTTTTCCCTTAGGAAAACACTAACTAGGAACCCATTTAAACCAATAACTCGATAATGCTTACCTCTCTTTATTGGATTGAGGAAACTGAAATGGCTGGTGAATTGTTCGGGCGTCATTCCTAACAAAGCTGAAACAATACAATCTTTAATAAAAGGAAGTTTGAGCGGTTAGTCATTTTGTAACAGTAATAGGCAAGGCTCTCGAACAAGGAGAGGGGACGAGCTGAAGCTATGGGAGCTCATTACAGAGTGATTGCATTGCAATCAGTGACAAGTTATCAGAAGACATCGTTTCCCGTGCACCTGACTCACACACACACCACATATAACGCGAAAATCACACACACACACACACCACACGCCCTACATATAGTATTGATCAATTATGCAAATCGATAAGGCCTAAAAAGGCAATCAATCCACCCATATCACGGTAGCTGGAACTACAGAGAACAGGTCATTCAACATTCGTGGAAATATTCCCAGGAAAGAGAGTACAGGGGCAGGACTCATTTCCTTTCGGGTAAAAGCCACCTAGTCAGCTGCAGAATCCCCAAAAGACCATTCACCTGAGTAGTTCCTAAGTGTCGCTTCCTTTTTCCCATGTGCTCTGGGAACAAGTTAGAAGTGACAGGTAAACGAAGGGTAATCTCGCGTGATGAGGCTACCCATGCCTGTAGGTCTGTGTATTACTTGAGATAAGATTCAGCGCAGAACCTATTCCTGCGGTGGTCAACAGGTCGTGGGTTCGGAAAACCCCAAAATACTAGGCCCAGTATGCCCGGAACACGTCCTTCCTCCCATAAACTCTGTATCCTCATCTGAACTCACGTTGTGAAGCGTTGTTCAACTGATTCCGAGCCATCTGGTTCAATGCGGCCAAATTGGCAGCGTTCAACGTCAACGGTACTTGTTGCTGTTGTTGAGCCTGTTGCTGTTGTTGTTGTTGAGCTAGTTGTTGTTGCTGTTGTTGCTGTTGTTGTTGCTGCTGCTGTTGCTGTTGCTTCTGATGAGCTTGAGCCTGAACAATATCTCATTTGAGAGCTCTTCCCGGGGCTAGTATGATAGGGTTCATATCGTACCTGCAATTGATTTTGAACTTGTTGTAGTTGCTGGTTCAGTGTACCGGCAGCTAAGGTTTGTCGCAATACACTGTTCAGAGGGTTGTCGTCGGCTGCTGATTGGCTTGCCACTGAAATTTTGTGATTGAGATGGCTTTCTGACAGCATAGAAATTATTCCCTGAAGAATGATTACAATGTGGAACCACATTGCAAGGGAGAGGGCTGTCTTCGCTCGTTCATTTAAGGAAAATAGGAAAATGGGGTCGTACGGGAGCAAAAATCCAGCATTACGACAAGATTCGCTATCTTCAAGCTACTGTATTGGCATTTATGTAGCTATAGGCGATGCTTTATCTAAACTGGATGGAGCTTGTGTAGGTAGGGAATTGGGTAAAGGGATTTGCTGAAGGAACTTCTAGGTGAAAAGAAGACGAGCCATACTTCATCCCGACCGGCTGATTCATTTGATCAGCGAAATAATTACCTAAGAATTCTTCGTCCGAAATTGGTTTGATAACGGTGCCCTCTCACCCTACCCAGCTCACCCTTTGTTGTAAATCCTCGAAAGAACATTTTCTCGGCCTAGCCCCATCAATAAAACCCACTAACTAAAAAGTGAGTATTCGCGGGTTCCTCACGATCTGTGGGGTCTTCTTTCAATCAGATATCTTCCTGAAATCGAAGCAATCAGATGATCGATGTGATCGAATGAGGCGGGCGCTGTTCTCGGCCTAGCCCCATCAATAAAACCCACTAACTAAAAAGTGAGTATTCGCGGGTTCCTCACGATCTGTGGGGTCTTCTTTCAATCAGATATCTTCTTGAAATCGAAGGAATCAGATGATCGATGTGATCGAATGAGGCGGGCGCTGATGGCGGCTAGCGGGGCTATGGTGTATACAAGACAAATATTGAAGCGTTGATACAATATGAAACGATGACTGAGCAAATATGGCGCATGCTCAAAGACCGAACCTAGTCAGGACCATCCCTCTGTTGTAGATGTTATAGCAGTTGGAATGGTGAAGATGGAAGACTAGAAGGAGTGGCAAGGCAATGAGAAAATTGCATGGAGATTCGGTTCCCTGTATATTTGGATCTCATTCCTAGCTATGGGACACGCTGAACAAAATCGCTTCGAATTTCCTCGAAGTTGGAACTGTTCTCATTAGAGTGAACTTCCCTCTCCCTCAACCCCCCTTCCACCTCCCCGCTCTTCTGGATTATAGAGTGTGACGTGCTTTCACATGGGTGTTGAATGGGAAAATCGAAAAATCACTTCTTAGAAGATTCCAATTTGCTGGCACAATTTCAGAGAAAGTCGCAGCAAATTACCATTTAGACCCTATTTTCATTTTCTTCTCGGCCCAGAAGGAACTTTTCCAACCTCGCCTTCATACACGCTACCACAAGAACGCTCCAAAATGAAGCTACCGACTTCTACCTACCCATTACTATCACTCATTGCTCATTGCCGTCCACTACCTCCTCGACATGGTACTGGTCTGACACCTGCTCGCAGTCCCTATTTGTTATGGTAGGTCACCATGATGTAAGAAGTGCAGCGTTCCTTCTAATCTTGATTCCGATACCACCTTGCACCAACGCTTTTGGCTACTTATCGCATCGGATTTATACTTACGGTTTTCAAGGCCCTTCCGGAGGGGCTGCTAGGCTTCACCTATTCGACCTTGGCAAAGCTTTTGCAACGCTGATCAATCTGTCCAACTATGAACTCTGGATCGGACAGAACTCTCCAGCTCCCCAGACACCAGACTTGTGGCTAGATGATTACCTTGTAGGGTAGCGAGCGCTCAATAAGAATTGTTAACAGAACACGTGCCCTCTACGGAGACTTCCCGAACAACAGTGAAAGAGCAAGGCACTCACCCATTTCCAACCAATTTGCAAACATGGTGATAAGATACAGATGCGCGTGATTTAGCAAATAGCGATTCAGTTCAGGGAGTCCTGACCAAATCCAAGTTTGGCCTGAGTTGCCGAATATTACGAAGACGGGAAAGATGAACACTTTGCCAACGGGAGGTCTGAAGCAGTTCAGAGAGGCTAGTGGAGAGTCGGAACGGAAACAACTTCACAGCACTGGGCAGCTTACAGAGATGTGTAAGGGTGGAGGAGCTGAAATGCCGCCGACGACCGGCGCTCGACAAAACGTTATCTTATACAAATGATACACCATACCGCACACTCATAGCGAAGCATAGAGCAATACTTGCCTGTGAAATTTTATCGCCGCAAACGAAAAGTGCGCGTAGACCTTTAGTGCTATGTCGAAATACAAGTAAATGATCGAAGATCTTTTCCGATAAGTATGAAGCGCTCGGATCCCGGAGATTCAAAGATCGCTTCCGGTAAAATACGCCATGCACTTGCCTCGGCCTTCTCAGCACGTTGCTTCCAACACAAAAATGTGCTGGTCAAAATTCGGAGCAACACATCTTGACCTCTGAGGCAAGCTGGACCCCTAGCCACTGACATCAGTAAGGCCGCAGAAAATCGCTCCGTCCGTACCATCTTCCTAGATTTCCCTCCAAAACGCAACCTCCGCATAGAAAAAATCGGGCGCACTGCGAAAAAAACCAAAGGCAAGGCAGTATAGATAACAGGTCGAGCGTGAAATTCCTTAAATTTATACTTGATGTTGACGAAAGCTTGACCTTCCTTCCCCCTCGTGATCAAGTTCCTAGTCTCCCGGGATAGGGAGCACCCAGCATTCTGCTGCACAAACTTGACCCTATCAATGAAACGGGAAGCGTTCTGGGTCTGACCGGATTAAATCCCATGAATCATGGATTTTGTTTGGATTGCCTCTTTCTAGGGCGCCACCTCTGTTCCCAATTGACCATGTCTATTGCTAATCGATAAGAATCGAATATTTGTGATGGTATTTTTTATGCTTAAATATGTCTAAACGAGCCAAGTGTATAGCAAGGGCTATATGCTGTCTATAGTGATTCCAGGGTCAAAATAGTTCCGGAGCTCGAATGGCACCGAACTAAACAGTTTCGCAACCGCTTTCATGGTTTTGCTCTATTCGCAAATACTGCATAATCAATTTAACTACTTGATCTGTGACGAATTTCACTGCTCCTATTGTCAATATGTAGTGTTCCCTGGTCTTTTGTGTTTGAATCGCGGGTGCCCTACAAAGGAGCCACTTTGTCATCACTGGGTTTTCTCGTCATCATCTGGGTTTTCTCCCTTGACGTATATTCCTTTCGCCCCGCCTGGTGCTACCTAGTATCCGGAAACCCTTCAGTTCAAGGGTAAACAGTATTAGCTACATATGAAGTTCACACATTTCCGAATGCTAACGCTCATGACCCCTTCCTGTCGTAGATAACGGTCCCCTGTCCCGAATGCCTGGGTCCCATGTTGGATCCTGAACCCAAACACCATGACAATCAACTCGTATCTTTACCATAGCAGGAAAAAGAGGGTGAATACGCTGGGGAACATTCTCGAATCTCCAGAAACGACCCTTTTTCCGTTTTCGTCAAAAAGTCATAAAATAGTATAAACATAACAAAAACCTCACATTTATTGATCGTCATCAGTATGCTGCTCGTCATCGGTGGCATTCGCTTCCGTGTAAGATCGGTCGAGAATAATTTACTAGAATTGCCGCTCAAAAGCAAGGCATTAAGATTTAAGGCGTCTTCAGCTTGAATCACCTGAAAATCACCATTTTTAGGAAAACTGACGCATTTTCCAATCTCCAAAAAGTAATATAGAAGCTTGCCCTTTAGAGACAACAATCAGATTGAGAAACTTCTGTCCAGTCCCCCCACAAAGACTCTTTTTAGAGCTTAGGAAAGAATCTTCAAGAGACGGGAGTGATTATCCCGAGTATAATACCGAAGCAAATGTCACAAGNCAAGGGCAACGGCCACAAAATAGGATCGATTGATCCATACTCCTACCATTTCGCCTGTTCATAAACGAAGCTATTGAACTGTGACATTTTGCACTTGGAAAGGACACTAGACGAGATGGAATGAGTGTGGAAGAGATCCATTATTCGATAAATCCCGCCCACTCCAGAAGTCATACCATTCGAATAGTATGGAAAAAACTTCGCAACTGACAAGTGAATTTATCATATCTTCAAAAGCCTCACAGTACGTTAAGGTCGTTAAGGATAACCGATCCCCACACTGTACATGATGACACTACCCGTCCATCATGCTTCTCAAAATTGGACCCCAGCACCTCCCTGTTCCTCTGAACTCCTTTGTCGAACTGGCGGCTCTGCTAAAGGTGAAGGCCGCTAACTTACTGAGGTGTAAACGTTGCAAATCTTTCGTCTAAGATGCTCAGCCCTGCTGAGGAGGAGGAAGTAGAGAGGGGGTTCCGATAAGATTGCGGTGGAAGATCTTACACATGGCCAATATAGTAGGCCTCCTTCGAACAAAAGTAAGGGAGCGAGTGGATTATCTCGACTACACAGTGATTAGAAACGCTCTTTCGTCGTGAAATTAGTCAAGTCAACTATACCGACACAATGGACAAACCTTTTCGTAATCGGCACGATGATGCGATCGTAGGTGCACTTTCAAATTCGTACTGAACACCGATTTTGTGCTGTACAAACATTGCTTGCATCGTGCCGTACCATCAACGACATCAAAATACGGCCATACTGGATTTCTGAATAAGGAGATAAAAAAACGTTGCCCTTTTATTGTACCTCTCAACAATGTCAGCTGGTACTCCGAAATGTTTTTTCTCCTAGAGGATCAGCTTGGGTCCGTATCAGTTTCTATTTGAGTAGTTCAGAGGCGAAACGAGAAGAATTCTAAAGGTAAAGACATATCGGTTAGACTGGTGGAATAAAGGCCCTAGCTGGGACCCCTTCTAGGACGCTTTGACGACACCTATAAAGGGCTGCTGCTTTCTATAGGCGAAGAATGAATGACTGACTCTGTTGTCAGTGGCCAGCTGGTTGCCCTGCTTTATTTTCAGGGAACAAGATGGTGCCAGAGTCAGATATGGTGCTGTGGCAGGAAGAATGGCCACAACCCTCCCAACGAAACATGAATCATATTTTATCTACAGGGCGGAGGTGGCGTAGTGGCAAGTGGCGCACTTCACACACGCACGGTCACGGAGTCAAATCCAGGAGCAATTCCTGCCTAAGCCAGCCGACCATTCCATCCCTTTGGGGTCGGCTAATTGGTACCAGACTCGCGTGGGAGAATAAAAGCACTGACTTGTTCATCTGCTGGCCACCGCAATTCATTGTATAGGTCCCATACGCATTCTGTACGCCACTACGATTCTGACAAGAATGCGTGGGCGCATCCCTCAGACGGGATTGATTAACGCCCCAAGACTTTTAGACTTTATCTACACTTCCCCATGTGGCCATATGACTCAGCACAAAAAAAAATCGTCCAACACTTTCAATGAAACGTTTTTTTCAACCTTACCTCCGTTGTCGTTTCCGTTTCGTTGGCGTCACTTCATGTGTAGTAGGGGTCTGACCCAATGAAGCGGCTAACGGTACTGTAGCTGATGGTGGTGTAGGCATACCAGGTATCATACAGTTGGCCAATTTTTCAGCTAGCAATGGATTGTTGTGGAATGATGACAGCAGGTTTAAGGCAGGTTTTTTGTCAGCATTCAGGTCATTGTTAAACGATTGCAGGCGAAGGATTTCTGAAAAAAAAAATTGGGAAATCAGGATTTGGCCCGGGAGAATTCTTGTGGAGATGATAAACCGATAGTAACTAACGTCGCTGCAATTCTGCATCTTCAGCCGAAATAGCTTTCGTACCGAGCAGATGCGGTTCACCGGATGAGGTCGAGACACAGTCTGGTGATGGATCCCTATCGGATCCTAAACAATTTATTCAATAGGAAATGAATGAGAAGTCTCGAAGAACGTTGAGAAAGTATGATGGACGCTCCCTGAAGAATATTTCTTTTCTAATTTCTATTGCTATGGGTCATGAGGTGGAGACCAGGCATATGGAACTTTTTCAGTGAAAGTTCCTTTTGCCCTATGAAAAGCACGACCAGCAATAGTTTTTTGGAACGTTTCCATTAAAATAAACATTGATATCGAATATCGGTGACCGTTTTGAAGACAGTAAGCTGGAAGACTGAAGGGTGAAAGAGTTCACCATGGGTTGAATCATGGATTTTTTCAGGAGTGCTCTCAGCGAAAACGCTTACCGATGCCGTTGTCAGGCGAGTAGTCATTGGTGGTACTGAACTCAGCATTCAACTGATCAGATGACGGTGTTTCAGTCCGCTGATCTGTACATGACTCCGGCGTTGAGTACTGCATCTGTTCTGTACCCGCTTGCGAGTATGGAGGGGATGAGTTGGTGTTCGACAATGCAGCTATATCCGCATTCTGAAAAGAGGAATTTGATTTCCAATGAAAAAACCCACAGAACACTTTCGTGGAAATAGGTATATAACCACCTGACCTGCACTTATGGGCTAGCCTACTTGTCCTAATGTCTACGGCCGTTCTCTGTCCTTTCTTTTCTTTCTTTCCGTTCTTGATGCGGTGGAACGGGCTCATTACATTAGTGATATCGATATACTCAAGCAATGGATGTATGTGGTCAAGCGCCAAGAGGCGCACTACTATGAGCATGGACGGAGGATCGTGGCTGGATCGGTGCCCACTGAGGACAGCCACGCAAATCATGGTGATCATGGTTACGTGATACTACACCCGTCTAAAGGGTAAAAGCTCTCATACCATGCGCTTGCTGGCTGGCTCTCGTAAGTCATCGCAGTCATATATGACCATGCAAACGTCCCTAAGATGTCGGTTGGAAGTCGAAAGTCAAGGCGCACAACTAAAAGGATTAGTCAAAGACAAAAAACTCGATCTTTTATACTTTTTGAGTCGGATAGCGACTCTTGCGGCGGAGGTTTAAGTTACCATTGTTAACAAATCCTCTGCGGATATGCCGCTTGATTTATTTCTACGGACTATTCAGCTGTAGCCTATGCCAAACTTCTTGTAAAATTAGTACAACCTTAGAGCAGACATCTGTCGATAAGTTTTGCCACCGAAACAAAAAACTGTTTGCGAGACTGAGCTATTTATACCTAGAGTACGCAGTCCCCTACAAAAAACTGCAGAATCGCGTCCTCACACCGATTGTTCCCGGTTTTTTCATAAGGCATTATAGTTAGGAACCGATTAATGAGCCCGCCTTGACGAAACACTGAATTATCCAGAAGAGGAAAGGTTTAATATGTGGGTAGGATAAGCCATGAATTCGAAATCGACCTAGCATGTGGAGAGCATCGAAATGTATTCGTAACCCTACCGGGGTACATATAGGAGCTCGGCTAACTAATCTTCCCTCGACCTGCCTTATAAGCCTTCTTTCACCACATGGCCTCCGAGATGGTGAGTTTCAGATTATCTGACCGAGATGGGATCCTACACAACAGTGCAGAAGGTAGGCACGCCTCCATGCACTCCCCCTTCTGTGTGCAACCTCAAACCAGACAATTTTTTACCTTCGGACACTTCGTAGTCGTACTAAAAGATTTTTTCCCGAGATTTATGGCAGTGTGCCAACTGTTAACAGTGCATGACACATAGAGTGTAAGAGCTCTACGCAGTCAAACATATTTGCTTGCACTTAGTCATGACTTGAGCTGGAAGAATCTATGGCCAAGACTTGCTGATTACACTGTAGTGAGCCCATCTCAATGCGGCTAGGTGACCACCAGCAGACTCCGATAGTCCGCTATACTTAACGGCATAGATATAGCCCAAAAAAAGGACCACTTCAGGTAAAAGAACATTAGAATAAGGTTCACTTCAAAATCTACTACAAATTTGCGGTAAATTACAAAAAAAAAGGCTAGGAGATCTATGAAGAAGCCAAACCTACTGAGAAATAAGGTTTTTCCCGAGCAGGAAATTCTTCCCGTATTCATTTCTTGTGGTTAATACATTCATGTTTTTGTAGATTTTTCTTAGACTTGGAAGGGATTAATTCCCACCTAATGAGTGGTATGTTGAGCCGCTGAGGGTAGTTCATTGAAGAGCTCTACGGATAGATTCCCACCATCTCATCAAGTTTACCATTCCTAAGCCATAGAAGTTACCAAATGCTCCCATTTAGGAAGGAGGAACTCCTAGGAAAATATGTCTAGAGATAGGGAATTCTCAAGTGGAACTTCATCAATCTGAACCGTGACCTCGAAATGATACTCTCACTGTGGACTATGATCTCTCGTATAGGGATATCTAAAGATATCTGATATCTCATCCATCAGAAATTCGAAGTCCTTGATCATGAAAGGGTGATAAACTGTGCATTTCGGGTTCCCCACACTGTGATGAATTGATTCCTAGGGGTTCCATCAAAACCCAAACGTATCAAAGGTACCTTCAATAAAGATGATTCACAGGCTCAGAATCATTTCGATGAAAATTCTTTGTATTGCGATGAATCACAATATCAAAACGTCATTTGTTTGATCTGTTGATAAGTAAACGGAAACTTTCAAATTCCAGATGTTTCTGCCTACAGACAAGGTCTGGGGCAATAAATGCTCCCTTCCCACACACCATCAGTACCGAAAATCAGGAAGTCAAAGATTATATAGTTAATTATCGATTGATCTAAAATTATCGATTCTACGAATTCCCGAAAAACGTGAACACTGGGAAAGAATAGCAAAATTTTTTGGCAGTAATCGCTACGTTTGAGCGCAGTTCCTTCTGCAACAGCGCTTGCCAATCAGCTGTTCAAATAGCCGAACGAAAATGACAACAGACTGTAATCACTGTTTATCACCGTATATCACCCTCAGTTATCAGAAAAAAACGATTCACTCACGTTTTGTTGAAAGGCTGCCGCAAGTTGTGCTGGTTGCAAAAGGGCAGCAAATGGATTCAAACAGTCTGACATAGCACTCGTCGTCGCAACATGCAGCGGTGGCTATGTCTATACTGAAAATTTTTGATCAAATCTGATGGCCACGAGAAAACGCGAAAGTAGACGTGAAGTATAAACGAACGGAACGAGCGACGAATTCAACATAAAAAGGCGAGCACCTTTTTCAAAAATCGACACAATGCAAAACGAAACGTCTGAATTCGCCATATCAAAACAGTTCTAGTGCTATTTAGTAAACATCAGTAAACAAAAAAGCATCGATTATAGTTGAGTTGTCGTCAAACTTCGGGCCAGTGCTGGTGTGCTCCAAGAAAAATGAATTTGATGAACTATGAAGACGTTTCCGTTTCTGGACCGTGCTATCAAAGAGACTCACACTGACACATGCGTATTATGTGGGGCCAAAAACTCGTCCAAAAAGACAAATCGACAAGAAATTACTCAGAACAAATGCTTACATCTCGTCATTATTTGGAAACTGACTACCAAGTTCACCAAGACAGTAAGAAACTTTTTGACCCTACTTTTATCTATTATTATGCTTTGTAGTTCATATCCGTATACACAATCGGAAGTATGAACGCAGTAGTGGTCGTTCAGAGATCAAAGCGAATGGTCAAACCTCCAGGAGCAGACCTTCCCATTATATCACAATCCCCCCTTTAAGTCTCACTTCTCCTCATCTTCATCCCGCAGTATAGTTCTGCACTTCTCCAGGACACAGGCGACCCCCTTAGGGTCAGCTGCCATGGTTGGCCCTACAAAACAAAAGCGATAAATCTTTGGTGTTGATAACTCCTACTCCGAAATGCTTCCAGTCAATCGAACTCAGTTCTGAATCATCGGCGCTTTTAGGTATCTATGGCCCTCATACAATGACTTGTTGGAGCCAACCGATGACAGTGCTTCTATCCTCCCACATGAAGAAAAAACAGTACGCTCGGACGTTTATGGATCCGGAAATCGATCTCTGAACCATATGGGTGGCACGGCGCTCTTCGACACCAATCCACCCATGCTTTGGTTCTTTACCTTTCATATTTACAAAATGAAAACAACCTCCAAAATACAATCTGTTCCAAGGGAAGAAAAATGTCCCTATCATAAGGAGTAGTAGTTTTACAATAAAACTCCGGTCATGAGGGAGAGGGAGACAAACAGCAAATCTCACGATCACAATGATGTCATCAGTATTCCAGATTTTCGAAAAAGCGTTTTGATATGTTCCCCTCGAGTGGGTGGACGTGCCCGGCAGGAAATGTCAAATCCAGGTAAATGATTGAGAAAATTACTTGTCAAATTCCTAGCATCATCAGATCACTGATCTGGAGCAGATCCCATACAGTTTGGGAGTTGTGAACGAGGAAGAGAAAGGTGAAGAGAGACGATAACAAAAAATACCAAAATTGGTAGGTTTTCACAAAAGCTTGGAAGGGTATTATACGGACTGCATGAGAAAATTCGTTAAAAACAAACAAATGATGTAAACTCGAACAGACCGTAGTTAGGGACGAGTTGTGTAGGAGTAACTATAGTCTGAGCAATACAAAAGTATAAGAAATATGTAAGAAGATTCTAGATGGGAGGAGCAGAAAATCAAAAGCAACGTCTTAAGTTTAGGGCTACTCCCATGTCCTTCAGCAACAGTTTATGACCCCACTGAAGGAACCACAGAAATGATGAGCCGGTGGTCATGTCATGGTGGTAGACTGATTTGGTTAAGTCACGACGACATCGGCCGACAGTGGCGGCTGTCGCCTTCGTCGGTTAGAGCTATCAGAGAGCCGTCGAGGAGCCGCGCACGCTTTGCTGCATAACTGTCATCCAAAGTCGAGACAGTACTCTAAAACTGTGTGTCTCACTAGCCGGCACACTCTTCTCATCACGATGGTCTCCAGTTTGTACGCGAGCGGTTCGCGCCCTGTCCATGTGGTCTACACCCTCTCGTGGGACGTCTCACGCCTGTACTCTCTTCGTTAAAGCGCACTTTCATCTCAAGTCAACAAAATGACAAATACAAACACATAATCGTACTAATCGTCTCGAACCCGCACTCGGGCGCGCGCCCACGAGCACAACGTCCGCTCAGCTCCCAGCTCTGGTCTGACTCGAGTATCAGATGGACGGAAGGTGATCAAGTGCCCCGTATAACTTCATAATAGACTGGCGCTTAAGTGGAGCCCTAACGAGCGAATATCCCTTTTGGGCTCACGCCTTCCTAACAATCGAATCCCTTGGTTGGTTATGCCAGGATTGAGCATAATCCAGCCTTACCATTAATCCATTTATAGGAGAAACAAACTGAGGTGAATTCCACAAATTTGAAAAAAAAAAGTAGTCTATGGGTATATGGGTGAAACGACGGTCAACCAGTGTTTCTATGAATTCGGAACTGATCAATTTTTGTCCGTACCTAACTAAGTCATTAAAAAATAGTTGGGAGACCTATGGTTGTCGTCCCGCCCCTTACATACTAAACTCGATGGTCGAAAGGTAGTGCTCTCCATATTTCGCAACTTCAGCGCTTCACATGTTTGATTTATTCAGGTAAAAAGTTTCTAGTAATATAACATTACCATCCTTTATTACCATTATTTATCACTTAGTATTCTTGTCGTTAGTATGAGAGTGGTATTATTTATAACTTACCTAGTAGAGGGTAGAGTAACAGAGGTTAAATCGGGGGCGGAAAAAGTGAGTGAAAGAAGTCTCTAGCAGTAGTACTGGTACCCTTTACAGAACCATGTGACCAATTCGTTATTCGACGGAGGGAACAAAGATATAGGTGAGTAGTAGGATTTGCAGAACTGAAGCTAGCCAGTTGGACAGAGCAAAAGGTCATTTTAAACCACGAAAGCCACGAAGTACGTCGACCTACAGATTACAACAAAAGTAACAAGTAGCACACACCACAACCACTGTTGCGAATCTTGCCTGAAGAAGCTCTTTGCTAGTGGTAGAAGAAAAATAGCTCGTAGACTACAAGAGCATAGGAGGAGTACATAAAGTAAAGTGCACTGCGACTCAAGAAGACCTCAGAGATTTCTTTGCGTACCTAACAACCTTGTCTTACAAAGAGAAATATGTATGTTCCAGAGAGTCTAAAAAGGGGCCCAAAAACTCCATGACACTGTAATCTACTTGATAGCCTCGAAATGATAGTGATTTTCATTGAACCTGTTAGATTAGCTACGGTCAAGTCTGAGAGAGGGCCTCACTGCCGAGAAAAGGGGGTCCGGGAACCTCTCCCCTAACACGGCGTCGCACACGTCGCACCCGCCGCCTATCGCAGGATTGCGATGGAAGATTGGAGCGCGCAATTTGTGATGTAGGGAGTCCTTTAATTATTTGAATTGGCTGGCCGCTCTTTTCAATTCCAATGCGATCTTGATTGTCTTTTATATAGGAGGAGTCATTTTATTTAATCAAGTCTACTAAACATGAAAACTAAAAAGAAATAGAAGAAAAAACGATAAAATCCAATGAAAAAGAAAGTCAGNAGGAGTCATTTTATTTAATCAAGTCTACTAAACATGAAAACTAAAAAGAAATAGAAGAAAAAACGATAAAATCCAATGAAAAAGAAAGTCAGTCAAGGAAAAATATCGCGTCCTATCGATTGGTGCGAGGCGGGGTGAATACGGTAACTGCAGTGGCATTTGCCGCATGCCGCAAGGGAGGATGCCGCGATAGGGGAGAAGTTCCGTTACCCGAGAAAAGGAACTATTCAGGCCCCGATTCAATTGACTTAGGAGCCCTCCATTTTCTGATGATCACGAATGATTAACGAATTGGAGTGGAATCCATAAGACGAAATTCCTTTTTTTCTGTATTTCAGTATTTTTACAAATTTTATAAAGTGAACTCCGGGAAAAAGGAAAAATCCGTTTTTTTGGAGGTCATGTTACATGCTAAATGATGAAATCTCAAACGGAGAAAAACAACAAAAAGCAGACCAATCATTACATCACTAACCTATTCAAAATTATTCCGAAAGATGTCGCTTGACTACGAAATCATCGGAAATCAGAAAAAAGATGCGAGAGGTGTAAATTCCCTGTTTAACTGGTCCACGAAATAGTATAACTTATATGGCAATGTCGGCAATCGAAATAAAAATGGAGCGGATACATGGCGCATCCCACGGAAGTGGGCGATTTGTTTGTTTTAGCTTCAGATTTGGAACTGAAGAGTATTTCTATTTATATTTTTTTAAAAACCCAAGTGGCAGTACACTTTTGGGCACACTCACAAAATTGTTTTAAAAAATTACTTCAGCTCTCAAAATAGATGGTAACGAGTAATCGTAGAAAAAGAGGCTGTAGAAGCCAACAAACGGAAGAAACTCCGAGAAAATTGTGGTATCACATGGCAGGAAGTAAGCAGTGTCTTCAGGGAGTACAACGTAAGCCAGAAGTCAGTGGGTACTTAGCCGAATGCTGGTCAACCAGAATACAAAGCGAGCCTATTTTTGGATAACAACATCATCGGAAAACCTGAAGTTCACTTTCCTAGACATATAATTACGACTATGAGATCTCAAACACTCGACAGCGTACTGGACTAAACTGACCACACAATGGAATGTGTGTGTGTTGCTTTTTCGGTACGATCGCCTTTTGGACGACAGTCATCGCAGCACCACTGGGACTCGCTGAGAGCTAAAATCGGCAACGTTGCGCGTACAATGAAGTCGTCGCTTGCACAAACACGGACAGCATTCGTGAAACAGCGAACGAGCGAGCACCACGAGACCGATTACGACTACAGTACAGCACTCGAGTTACATCGCAACACACAAAACCCTCCCTCGGTCCCCTCCTCGAAACGACCATTAAAGGAGTGGCCACAACGGTTTCTAAGCGAGCCTTTACCATCTCAAAGCGGGTCTAGGAATAGCAACGACGACTCGGAGCCATGAAACGACTTCAATATGGGTTTTCTCCTTAGCCTACGACTTTTACCATTTTTTTCACTCAGGTACTTCTGATCGGGGAACTTCCTCTTTCTAA